ATTCCCTCAAGCTCTTGTATTATATTCTTCCTTCTTTTCTCAACCAAACTCCTGGAAAAAGCTGTCTGTGCTTATTGATTCCATTTCCTTTCCTCTTTGGGCTTCTAACCTCCTCACTGAATTGGAACTGCCCCTTTCCAGGTTACCAGTGATCTTTTAATTGCCAGATCTTAATGACCTTTGTTTCATCCTTTTTCAGCATTAGACTGTGCTGACACTCTGTCCTCCCCAGAGACTTTCTTCTCTGTCCTTTACTGACACTCTTCTCTCTTGACTCTCCTGTAAACCCATCTAACTATTTCTCTCTCTCATTTGCTGGTTAATCATCTATATTACGCCCCCTAACTGTGTGTGTTTCACAGGGTTCCATCCTACCTGTGCCTTGTCCTCTTCTTTCTCTTGGTACTTTGTGTTTATTTTGTATTTATTTCAGCACATCCTCATATATGTACATGTTGAATGTAAGCTTCTTGAGATACTCAGATTGATTTTATTTCTTCCCGTGTGCCCAACATAGTACCTGGCACATATTAATTGATGACTTGGTTGGTTGGTTGATCATCTTGGACCTCATGCAAGGTGTAATTAGTAAAATGTGCCTTATTAGAAGGTTTTACTTTAAAAAATCACTGTCAGGGTTTGTGAGCTATTACTGCGATTATAACATCGTGGACGTTGGTCTTCCTCAAACAGTGCTTGGTGTACTTTATTCAAATGGAGTGAACCTAGAACTATTGTTATAAATAATCTGATGTACCATGCTAACTTATATACATCATAACAATATGAAATGTAACTTAATAATTTTATCTTTTCCCAGTGTTTTAATTTTAGCCTTAAATAAAAAATTTCCAAAGAATCAGAGTCAACATCCTAAGAAAGAATATTACTATTATAACAGCAGTAAAGACTGAAGACAAAAAAATTTCATAATATGTAATAAGTTAGTATTTTAACATAACACTTAGGGATCAGCAGCATTTCCCAAACAGCTGTGTGTTGCATCCTTACTAATTCAGTTACATTCCCTTTTTGTTTCAGTGTTAACAAACATTGACATGTTGTAGACTGACAATACTACCAAAGTTAATTTACAGAGATTTAATGCTATATCAATCCAATTACCAAAGGAATCTTTTACAGATCTATATAAAATAATAACAAAATTCATTTAGAGGAACAAAAGATCTAGACTGTCAAAGGAAATAATGGGGGGGAAAAAGGTAGAAATGATGGAGGAATAGGACTTCCAGTCTTCAAACTTATTTTGAAGCCACAATCATCTGATCCATTTGGTGATGATTAAGAAATAGAAAAATAGGTAATTGGAACAGACTGACAAGGAAGAATAAGAAAAAATAGAAATCAGTAACCCATAAACTGGAAAATACAGATTACCAAGGAAAGAACCTTCTGCTTGATAAGACTTGCTAGAAAGATAAGAAGTAGTCTGGTAGGAAGAGGTCCTAGATCAACATTTTAAACCACATTCCACAATAAATTCAAAATGGATACATGCCCTGAATCATAGCTTAAAGCTAAGATCACAACATAAAAAAATTAGAAAAGAAGTCATAATATGCCTTTTGCAGCTATGGGAAGAGGATGAATTCTTAATCAAATAATAGACGGACAATTCTGAAAGATAAAATAGATTTTGATTACATGTAATTGAAAGACTTTTACATAAACAAAATTAATGTATCTGGGGTAATGAGGGAAGCAATTGATTGAGAAAAATCTTTCAGAAATCTGTGATAAGGGTTTGGTTTCAAACATATAAACAACTAAAGAAATGTGAGACTAAAAGCCATTTTAGTCTCATTTAGTCATTCATTTAGTCATTTTCTCCAATACGGAAGTAGCCATGGATGTGAACAAAAATTTTTCAAAAGGAGAATTGTAAACTATTAGCAGCCATGTAAAAGAATGCTCCATGTCACTAATATGAAATGCAAATCAAAATTACATTTTTTTCCATGAAGTTTCCTCCCATGCCCAACAAAATGCCAAAAATGACAAAAGATAGGAATATCGCAGTTGTAGGAAGATAAGCACATCGATATATTATTGGTGGAGGTGCTATTTGACTGGTACAATCATTCTGAAAAGCACTTTATAATTATGTAAATAAAGTGACTAAAATGTCCATACCTTTTGACCCAGAGATCCCACTACTAGGTATATACCACAAGGATTGATTTAAAAAAAAAATAAAAGCTTTATATGAACTGAAATATTTGTAGCAGTGTTTTTGGTAGCAAAGAAATGGAAATATAGCAGAGGTCTATTGATAGGGAAATGGCTAATCAAATTATAGTACATAAATCTAATGGGATATTAATATGCTGTAATATACAACAGATATGATGAGTCCAGAGAAGTATAGAGAGACTTATGTGAGCTGATGTAAAGTGTAGTTAGCAGAGCCAACGAAACAACATAGTTGGTGACTGCAGTATTATGGAATGAACAGAAACCTCGAATCAATTGAAAGTAAATATTGCAGAATTATAAAGAACAAGCATGGCCACAAAAAGGAGATATGAGAAATCATCTTCCTGCTCCTTTGCAGAGGTCAAGGTTCAAAGTGGAATATTTCAAGTAGCATCAGATTTTTTTTTATGTGTTGGTCTATTTTGCCTGAGTTTTTCTCTTCCTTTATTAAAAAATAGTTTATTTGTTATAAGAGAAGGCTCTCTAGGAGGTGAGAAGAGGAAGAATACAAGGGGAAATCTAGATGACATAAAAATAAAAGATATCTATAAAAATCTATCTGAAAAAATGTTGGAGATTAAGAAGAGAGGATTTTCTAAAAAAAAATGATTTATACTTCAACTTTTATCAGCTGAAATGCCTTAGAAACTCAAAGATGTGTAAGACATCACAATGATCTTTTTGTTGAAATTAGGACATGACTTCAGAAAATAAGGATAAGTTTTGTGTTCTAGTTGTGGCCAGGTGCAGCACTTAGTTTCCATTATGCGTGAGAAACACTATACCTGTATGAGGTGCTTGTTGTCTATGTCTTGATTAAGAAAAAAAATTCATTTGCCTGGACAGCAAAAAAGCTGTATGAGATTGTTGGCAGTATCTTAACAATTTTTAAGAACTAAAGTTTGGCAGGGAAAACTATCCCTAATTTGCAATTTGTGTATTGCATTTCAGTATGATAGGAAGATAATTTAAAAAAAGAAGTCAACTTCTTAGAAGTGTTACCTCAAAACAAAAATGAATAAAGATCTCATGCCAAGTCCCAAACACATTGTCAAGGTCCCAAGTTTCTCATTCACATATGCCTTGGTTATCTGATATCACGTGAATACTCACCCAGAACATCTTTTTTTTTTCTTTTTAAAATTTATTTATTGATTTTTATTTTGCAGCATTCATTTCCATGAGATATTGAGTTCCACATTTTCTCCCCATCTCTCCCCTTCCCCTAACCTGAAGATGGCATGCAATCTGATATAGGCTCTACATATACATTCATATTGAACCTATTTTCACATTAGGCATGTTGTAAAGAAGAACCAGAACCAGTGGGAGAAACCATGAGAAAGAAGAAACAAAAAAAAAATAGAGATCAAATAATATGCTTTGATCTACATTCAGACTCCATAGTTCTTTTTCTGGATGTGGACAGCATTTTCCATAATGAGTCCTTGGATCTTTGCATTGCTGAAAGGAGATGAGTCTGTCAAAGTTAGTCACTGAATATTGTGGCTGTTACTGTGTACAATGTTCTCCTGGTTCTGCTCACTTCACTCAGCATCAGTTCATTTTAAAACTTTCCAGGTTTTTCTGAAGTCTGCCTGCTCAACATTTATTATGGAACAATAGTATTTCATTACATTCATATACCACAACTTGTTCAGCTATTTCCCTACTGATGGGCATCCTCTCAATTTCCAATTCTTTGCCACCACAGAAAGAGCTGCTATAAATATTTTTGCACATATGATTCCTTTTCCCATTTGTATGATCTCTTTGGGACACAGACCTAGAAGTAGTATTGCTGGGTCAAAGGATATGCACGTTTTTGCAGCCCTTTGGACGTAGTTCCAAATTGCTCTCCAGAATGGTTGGATCAGTCAAAGTCATTCTTTTTTTTTTTTAATTTTATTAATTTATTTTGATTTATCAACAATCACTTCCATATGCTTTTGAGTTGAAAATTTTTCTCCGCCTTCCTCCCCTCTGTCCTTCCCAAGACGGCGCACAATCTGATATAGGGTTTACATTTACATACCCATTAAACATATTTTCACATTAGTGAAGTTGTAAGTAAAAACACCCAGAACATTCTTAACATTACCAATGCCTCCTTTTCCATGTTGTCATCCTTATAGCGCTGAGGCTGGATGACATACAGTCTTGAGGCTGTTTCTTACTACTCCTAAATTCACCCAAAGAATTACAGACCCTTAAACTTTCCTTTGTAGCCACTCTTGCAATGGGGGTGGGAGACACTGGCAGGAAACTTCTATGAAAGGATATGCCTGTGACTTTATTTTCCCCTTGCAAGCCTAGGGCAGCCCCAAATTTCTGACCATGATAGCTAGTCGAGATATTATTACTGTCATTATCATTAACGTTACTACTATCATCCCCACTTTAAGGATGTGGCATGGGATTGAAGACTGTGCCAGTGATGTGCCCTTTCTTCTAGGTCCTAGGAAGCTTTCAGTTTAGTCCTTGGCAGTAGACTATAAACCCATGGTTTGAGCACCACGTTAGAAGCAGGACTTGCTGCAGGGTGACAAATTTTTGTAACCAACAGATCATTGGAAAGATAGAGTAAGTGTGGGTGTCAGTCATAGATTTTTGAAATATTGCAGAAATACAGAAGAGGATACTAAGGTTTAGAGAAAGGTTAGGTGGCTTGCCAATTTTCACACAATATTTAAATTTCACACAAAATTTAAATTTAAAAATTCAAGTTTTAAAAATCTCCTTTAAAGGATTTTGAATGTTTGTTCAAAACTGTTTTCTTCCAGAAAACCGAAGACTGGGAGAAAAAGAAGACTGAAGCAGACATGGAAGAATATGTATGGGAGAATAGCCGCTCAGAAAAAAACATCCTGAAGACTCTTCTCCAAATTAAAGCTTCAGAAGAAACTGCTGGAGTCACACAGGAGGAGATCCTTGGTTCTCAAGAAGTTGGGAATTACAAAAAATCTGTTGTTGCACTTAAAAATGAGGGTGATACTGAAAATAACCTTTCTCAGTATAAAGACGCAGTAAAGAAGCTATTGAATTTGACATGACTGCAATGTTGGAGGGGGGAACTGTTGCTTAGTCATAATTTGTTGTCAGGTGTTTGTATGGTCTGATCTCTGTGATGAGGTATACACAATTTTAAATAATATATTAAAAACCACTCTTTTGTTCTAGAGTTAGAATTACTTCACACTTTTAAAAATATAAACACTTAACTAATTTTTAATGTCCCATAATTAGTAATAATTAAAAGTGAAATTGTTATCCCTAATGTTAATTTTGATTTTTTTCATTCATTTCAAACTTTGCCGATTACATTTCCTCTCCCTTAATATGATATATGTTGCTTGCTTTTGATTTGTGAATTTTTTAGGCTTAAGCTGTTGTCTCTGCCAAATAGTAAGTGATGCTAAAAGGGAGAAATAGTAACTGCATCTAAAATTTGGAATACAGTCAGCCAACAAGCATTTATTAGGCACCTGCTGTGTGCCAGACACTGTGCTAGGAGTTGGAGATACAAATAAACTGTATGAAGAGACACAATTTAATTTAAAATCCCCCAACCACTGATAGGAAGAAAATAGTGTTGATTAGAGTCTGTATTTTTAAAATCTTTCGTTTCTTGCAAATGCAAAAAAAAAAAAGGTCAGTAAGAATCAGAATAAGGGACTTGTTGACCATAACCCAGATTTTAGGACTTAAGTATTTCTGACAGAGGAGTAGAAAAATGAGTAGAAATCAAAGGGCTTTCCAAAATAATTGACCATAAGATTCATATAAAATGAAGATTTATGTTGACAGGCTGCAATTTATATAATAATGACCCTGTAGTATGACACTGTGCCAAAAGGAGGAAAAAACTTCAGCACTACATTATATTCCTTTAACTTATGTAAGATAAGATAATTACTTGGCTTGGCTTATGTTTTTAAGCATAATTTAAGAAATATTACATTTCAGAATATAAAAGAAAAATTGTGAAGTGATAAAAAGAAGAAATCAGGTTTTAAAATAAGATAGAAAAGAAAGTATTGAAAATGGAAGAATTGATAGAAGAGCCCAGAGTTTGGTAGACTATTATATAATTAGTGCATATGGAAGCACACATAATAATGAATTGATTACTGAGGCAGTACTAATTGAGGCTTAATGGGAATTCTTTCAGGCTACAAAAATCATGCAAGATGTCTTAAAGAAGATGGCCAAAGTTGCTGGCTCTAGGTTGCATTTGCTGCTAATTAATAATTATATTTTCAGAAATAATTAGTTAATTCCGGTTTAAATGTGAAACTGTTATTTTAGAACTTTGACCCTTTAAATATTGTAACTTTGAAACTGAGATCAGGTTGGATTGAATCTGGAAAATTTGTGTCGTGCTTTCATTGATCCTAAATTGCTCGCTACTGCAAAGGTTAGTATTGTGACCAACAAAATTTTCCTGAAGTTCTACAGCTGTGAATTGTGGAACTCTGTGATGCTGGAAGTCAAAATTATAAGTAGTGTAAAGGACTACAAAAAAAACCCACTGTGGACTCAAGTAGGCGTGAGAAGTAGCACAAAAAGACATCACTGGAGATGTGTATGATTAAAAAGATTCATCATATCTTTGAAAGAGCAGAAATATAATATTAAGTCCAATATAGTGGGAAGAAAGTTGTTTCCTTTGTATTATACCTTTTATTGGGAAGAACTGATCTCTGTGTACTTTTTATCATTTAGGCTGGATAGTGAGTTTTTTGTTAGTGAAACGCAGTCGTTTCTCACATAAATCCTTAATAATTATTACCTGAACATTTACCATAGTTGCATGGCTATTGGATAATCAAAAGACATAAGAAATACAATCTTCTTAAGGGTCTTTGTCACTTTCGTCCTTGTGTTTGTGCTTAGCATATAGTAGGTGCTTAATACATGCTTACTGAATCTAATCCAAATAGAGGATATCAAGAGATTTAATTTTAATCTTCAGAAGACAAAGAAGTTCTTTATCTGATTTCCTTGCCAAAATTGATAAGCAGGTTTTTTCTTAATCAACAAGTATTTATTAAATGCCTGCTATGGTGTTGCATCAGGTGCTAAGGATACAAATATAAAAATGAAATAATTCCTGGCCTCAAGGAGCTTATATTCTAATAGGGAGATACAATTCATATAGGGAAGTGATGGCCAGGGAAGGGATTTTTAGTTAATGCCATCAGAGAGATTGTGAGTGGAACCATCAGGCAGTAGATGATCACAAAGTAAGGTAGTAGTAATTGTGATTTGAATATTGTTCCCCAGAGCAATAGGAAGAGGTGGGAGTATGTGGGTATGCCTACAGCTTGATGGCAGTGCAAGTCCTACTGTCCTGGTTGGATGACTAGATGGGATATGAAACATGGTATGGGCTTGGCTAGATAGATAGTGGGTGAGGTGAATTTTTACTTGCTCACTCGCCCATTAATCAGGAAAGTTCTGCATCACTAAAGTGTCCTGAAGTTAAGTGGACTAATTCAGGGGAGTAGTGAGGCCTAGTCTCTATAAAGGGTCATTTCCTGGTGGGAAGAAAAGTGACAAAAAAGCAGGTGGCAGAGTCAAAAATTAGAATTTTTTTGGTAAACTGTTTTTTTAAGTAAATAAATGCCAGGCTAAGGAAATTTAATTTCTCACCAATAGTCCAGATTGGAATAGTAGCCTAGTCACTTAATTTTAACAATAGTTAATAATAATAACTACCATTTACATAATTCTTTAAGGTTTGCAAAGCACTATACCTGTATTAACTCATTTGATCCTCACAACAACCTTGTGAAGTATGTATTATTATTCCTTTTTTATAGATGATCAAACTGAGCCTGAGAAAAGTTAAATACCTTGCCTATATCATAGAGTTAATAAGTTAAATCTAAGAGGGGGCAGCTAGGTGGCACAGTGAATAGAACGCTGGTCCTGGAGTCAAGAGGACCTGAGTTCAAATCCAGTCTCAGACCAGATACTTGACACTTACTAGCTGTGTGACCCTGGGCAAGTCACTTAACCCCATTGCCTAGCTAAAAAAAAAAATCTAAGAAAGGATTTCAATTTAGGTCTTTCTGTCTCTGAAACCAGCGTTCATTTAGAGGTGTCAGATATATGGAAACTTGCAGCTGTCAGCATTCCCCCCAGAGTAAAATGTAATTGGAAAATATTTAATAAAAAATACAGTAGAACATAGATAATGTTAGTTATCTGAAGGGAATGATATGAATGTATAGGAAACACCAGCCAACTTAAATTTTTTAAAAAGCATGTACAGAAGATGGAGGGAAGAAAAAGGAACAAGCATTTATTAAACACCTACTATGTGCCAGGCACTGTGCTAAGAGCTTTACAGATATCTCATTTGATCCTCACAACAATCGTAGGAGGTTCTATTATTAGCCCCATTTTACAGTTGAGGAACCTGAGGCAGACAGTAGTTAAGTGACGTCAGATTTGAACTTAGGTCTTCCTGATTATAGGTCCAGCACTCTTGTCTACTGTTGCCACCTAGCCTAGGCAGGTAAAAGAGGTTGAATCTAAGAGCAGAGTCCAGTAAAAATAGAATCAGGGTGTCAAAGCTCAGAATGAGCTGAGACTGGCAAGGGAATCTAAGGACAGCAAAAGAAATTGTTCTCTTTATGTATATTGGGGGGAAAAAAACCAAAGGATAGAATCATTGCTTGATGTAGATGGGATGATGAGAAGCAAGGCAGAGCCTTTCAAGTGTTTTGTTCCTGTTTGAACTGTTAAAGAGAATGATGTTTGTACTAGAATGACAGGACAAAAGTGATTCGACAAGGAAGTGATACCCAAGATAAGTAAGGACGTAAAAAAGCACCTACTTACTTGTTCTTCTTAAATTCATGTCACCTGGAACATATGAAAAGCAGCCATGAGTCCTGAAAGAACTGGAAGCAGTGACTGCTTAGCCACTTTCAGTGATATTTGGAAGACCATGGAAAATGGGAAAGGTACCGTGGACTGGAGGGGAAATGTCCTAATTCATACACACATGCCCCCTCCTCATTTCAAAAAAAATTAAATGAAAAGAGAACAGTCTGGGAACTATAGGCCAATGAGCCTAACTTTAACTCTTGGGAAAATTCTTGAATGGATCACAAAAGAAACAATTAATGAATATTCAGAAAGGTCAACTGTAATTACAAAGAATCCAGCTTGATAAAGAACAGATACTAGTTTATCTTTCTTTCTTTCTTTCTTTCTTTCTTTCTTTTTTCTTTCTTTCTTTCTTTCTTTCTTTCTTTCTTTCCTGCCTGCCTTCCTTCCTCCTTCCTCTTTCTTTCTTTCTTTCTTTCTTTCTTTCTTTCTTTCTTTCTTTCTTTCTTTCTTTCTTTCTTTCTTTCTTTCTTCCTTTCCTTCCTTTCCTTCCTTCCTTTCCTCCTTCCTTCCTTCCTCCTTCTTCCTTCCTTCTTTCTTTCTTTCTTTCTTTCTTTCTTTCTTTCTTCTTCTTTTTTCTTTCTTTCTTTCTTTCTTTTTTCTTTCTTTCTTTCTTTCTTTCTTTCTTTCTTTCTTTCTTTCTTTCTTTCTTTCTTTCTCGGTTACTGGTTGATCAGCAAAATGCCATAGAGGTAGTTAACTTTGATTTTAGCTAGGCATTTGACAAAGGCTATCATATTATTCTTGTGGAAAACATAGAGAGATATGGACTACATTATAGTACACTTAGGTGGGTTTGTAATAATGATTCAATGTCAACATGACAAAAGGGCTCCAGTGTAATGCCTATAGAGGGGGCAGGCATGGTAGAAGTCTCTAATAGAGTAACACTTGGTGTTATCCTTCTCTTGGTGTTAAATTTGTTCTAATTAATTACTTCCCTGAATACCTCCCTTTTCCTCTTATCTACATCTCACCACCTGTTGGTATCATCCCCCACTCTCTGTTTTACTGTAGTCTCTGATGAGGAGGTGGCCCTTCTCACTAAAAGTAAGACCCTGTTTATATGCCCTTGAATCTATCTCATTCCATTTCCCTTGGCAGATTGTTCATGTAACTGTGCTCCCTCTCTATTCTTCAGTCTCTTCCTATCTACCAGCTCCTTCCCTGCTGCCTACAGAGTTCCTCCATGCTTTAAAACAAAACAAAACAAAAAACTCCCTTTGACAATGTCCTTAAAGTGTTACCCCCAATCTCTCCCTTTCATAGTCAAACTCCAAGAAAAGATATCTCCATTCATTATCTCCATTTTCTCATCTGCTACTTTTTTCTCAACATCATTGTTGGTTTATGGAAACTGCTCTTTCCAATGTCACCAGTGATGTCTTTATTGCCAAGTTTTTTCACAGCCTTTTTCACCTTTTCACAGCCCTCATTCATCCAGACCTCTCTGCTGCATTTGGCACAGCCACCATCTTAGTTTGATCTCTTATCACTCCTCACCTAGACTATTGCAATTAGTCTAATTGGTCATGCTGCCTCAAGTCTTTTCCCCACACCAATTTTCCCACAATAATTTATCCTGCACACATGCTGCCTAAGTGATTTTACTAAAGCTCAGTTATGATCATGCTATTCCTGTGGTTGATAAACTCTAGTGAAAAGCATACAAATCATCAGCATTTCTTTATGTTTCTGACAAAACTCAGCAGGAAGAGATAAAAAGGAAAATTCCATTTAAAATAAATACAGCATAAAATACTTGGGAGTCTACCTGCCAACATACACACAGCAACTATATAAATACGATTACAAAACACTAAACAGAAATATAGAACTAAATACTTAGAGAAATAACAATTATTCATGGGTGGGTGAAGCCAATATAATAAAAATAATGCTACCTAAATTAATTTATTCAGTACCATACCAATCAAACTACTAAATAATTACTTTATAGATTCAGAAAAATAATAAAATTCATCTGGAGGAACAAAAGATGAAGAATATCAAAGGAATTAATGAAAAAAAAATGGAAAGGGACCAGATCTCAAACTATACAACAAAGCTGTAATTGCCAAAACAATTTGTTACTGGCTAAGAAATAGGTTGATCAGTGGAACAGATTGGGTACATAATATATAAAAGCAAATGAGCTCTATAACCTAGTGTTTGATTAATCTAAAGATTCTGGTTATTAGGTCAAGAATTCATATTTAACAAAACCTATTGGGAAAATTGGAAAGTAGTCTGGAAAAATCCAGACATAGACCAACATCCTATATCACATACCATGATAGACATAAAAGCTGATATAAGCAAATTAATGGAGCATGGAAGAAATTACCTGTCATTTATGGATGGGGGAAGATTTCATGGGCAAACAAGAGATGGGTTCACAGGAGGTTAAATAGGTAATTTTGATTGTGTAAATTAAAGTTTTTATACAAATAAAACCAGTGCTGCTAAAATCAGAAGAAAAGTAGGAAATTCAAGGAAAAAAATCTTTGTACCAAGTTTCTCTGATAAAGGTCTTATTTCTAAAATATATAGAGAACTGAGTCAAATTTGCAAGAGCAAATCCAGTTGATAAGTGACCAAAGGCTATGAAAAAGAAATTTTCAGAGGAAGAAATCTAAGTTATCAATAGTCACATAAAAATGCTCTAAATAATAGAGAAATGCAAATTAACACAACTCTGATGTACTACCACGTCACACCCATCAGATTGGCTAAGCTGACAAAAAAAGGAAAATGACATGTTGCAGCAGATATGAGAAAATAGGCATGCTAATGCACTGTTGGGGCTGTGAACAAGTATAGCCATTCTGAAAAACAATTAAGAAACCATGTCCCAAAAGCTATTGCAGTGTGCATTTCCTCTGATCTAGTGATACTGAGATTAAGCCTATACTACAAAGAGATCAAAGAAAGAGGAAAAGGACCTATATAGCAGCTGTTTTTGTGGTGGCAAGGAATTGGAAATTGAGAGGATGCCCATCAAGTGGGGAATAGCTGAACAAGTTGTGTTATATGAATGTAATGGAATACTATTGTGCTATAAGACAGATTTCAGAAAAACTTGGAAAGACTTACATGAACTGATGCTGAGTGAAGTGAGCAGAACCAGGAGAACAGTAACAGTAACATAATATTGTATGATGATTATATGATGAATAACTTAGCTATTCTCAGCAATACAATGATCCAAGATAATTCCAAAGGACTCATGATGAAAAATGCTGTCCACGCCTGGAGAAAGAATTGATTGAGTCTGAATGCATATCAAATCATACAATTTTACTTTATTTTTTGTGCTTTTTTTCTTTTGGTTTGTTTCTTCCTTCACAATATGACTAATATAGAAATGTGTTTTACATGATTGCACATTTTTAACCTGTATCAATTTCCTTATCATCTTAGGGAGAGGGGAGGAAAGAGAGGGAGGGAGAAACTTTGGAACTCAAAATTTTTTTTAAATTAATGTTAAAATTTGTCTTTACATGTAATTGGAAAAATAAAATACTATCAAAAAAACAACAACAAAGATTTGGAAACTTAGAGGAAGCCCATTGATTGAGGAACGGCTGTGAACAAGTTATGGTATGTGACTGTGATAGAACACTATTGTGCTGTAGGAAGTGATGAAGGGAATGAGTTCAGAAAAACCTGAGGAGACTAGAATGAACTGATGCAAAGTAAAGTAAGCAGAATCAGGAAAACAATTTATACAGTTACAATATTGTAAAGACAATCAACTGTGAAAGATTCTAATCAACACAATGAGCAACCATAATTTCCAAAAGACTCATGATGAAACAGGCTATCTGGCTCCAGATAGAGAACCTATTGACTCAGAATACAGATTGAAGCATATTTTCTTCTCTTTTTTTTAAAAAAATTTTTAAGTGAAAAAAATAAAAATAAAAAAATTTTGAAAATGGCTAATTTGGAGATTTGGTTTTTTTAACTACACATATTTGTAATGGGTTTTGTTTTTCTTGCCTTCTTAATAAGTGAGGGAATAGAAAGAAGGGAGAGATTTTGTAACTGAAAATAAAATAAAATTAAATTAAAAGAAAACAAAATAGCAATAAACTCCGTGGATTTCCTGTTGCCTCTAAAACTAAATAGAAACTTCTGTTTGGCATTTAAAGGTCTTCACAATGTGACCTTTTCCTACCTTTCCAGTATTCTTACGTCTTCACCAATGTCCTTGCTTTACTGTTCTACACAGTATGCCCTTTCTGTCCTGTTTCTGTGCCTTTGAACTGGCTGTTCCCCACATCTGGGGTGTTTTCCTTCTTCACTTCTGCTTCTTAGAATGCTTGGTTTTCTCCAAGAATCAGTTTAAATGCCACCAACAGCTAGTGCCTTCTCATCCAGAGTTACTTTATTTCTGTTTTTTATACACCTTTTATCTTTACAATCTGTCTCCCCAGTTATAATTTAAGGATTGATCAATCAATCAGTTAGTAAACATTATTAAGCCCAGCACTATTCGTTGGCACAGTAAAAAATAAAAATAAAGGCAGAGACTTTCCTTTTTTCCTCTGTATCTCCAGTGCTTTGCACACTGCTTGGCCCATAGAAGATGCTTAATAAGTGTTTGTTAATTGAATGATGGTGATCTCTTTTGACTACTGAGAAATCTGGTATCAAAATATATGTTGATTTTAGTTTGGAGGACTTGGTCAAGTTCTTTCTAAAATTCCTCTTTTTCATCTATCTGTAACAGATGCTGAAGACAAAAAATGTAGACATGTTTGTGGTGGCCTCTTTGTTTATTCCTGATATTAGTACTGAAAACTGCAGTGTAAAAAAAGCCAAGCATCTTCATGAAATGACTATTATGTTTCCTTTTGAGTGCATAACTAACAAACTCCTCCAACTCTTATTTACAGCTTTGAGAAAAAATAGCAAACTATCCTTCCATTTTGTTGCAACTATAGTATGTCTTCTGTTCTCATTTACTGAAACAAAAACATCAATATGGACATGATTTAATTCTTTATGTCAACTCATTGGGAACAACCTTCTAGTGACCATTCTCTCCATATATAGTTAGATTGGTCCTTGGGCAGCAGATCCGTACTTGAAGATTTCCCAGCATGGTCCTATCTGCCTGTCATTTGAAAGCACAGTGTCACCTTCATGTCATGATGAGGCATCAGACTATGTCTAAAACTCTATTTTTAGCCCTTTGCTAGTTACAGATTTTTATTTTCCATGGGATCATAATCCTCGAAGCTCCCTTTATGCTTTGGTGGAGGTACAAGGGGTCACATTCTATAGGCTTCTTCTTGGCTCAAATGCCTCCATGGTAGCTCATCTGTCCCTTAAATTTATTCATATCTAACTGGTAGTGTTGTTTATATACAGCCCGAGCTAGAGGCAAAAGAAACTGTTGTTTTTCTTTTGTAATTCCTCCTCTGAGGCTACCGCCTCAACTCATGTTGAGTCACTGGGGGAGAAACTGCTCTCAGTTTCAAAAGTACTTTGTGTCTGTACAACTAAAACTATAACTGATGGGTTTATTTACCTTTAATAGTCAACCAGTACCCACTGGTCGTTCAAAGCAGGATGGTAGGACTAATACTGGCTACAACTTCTCTAGCTTAAAAGATCAAGAAGAAGGGGACTTCTAAGGACTTGGTCATTGGGTACAGTGTGATGGTGATTCACAGGAAGCTCCAGTTAAACAAATGTTGCCAACGCTGTGGGAGCCTCATGAGGTAATTACCCCAGCTCAGTATCACAGCCACCATAGGAGTTAGTACTGAACCAGTGCTCTGGGCAGAGCTGAAAATAGGAGTATCATTTTGAGGTGAAGCAGGGTCATGAAGCGAGGGAAACAGAAACTGAGGGACAGTACCTCACCTGCTTTTTTTAGCTCACAGGACCCTGGATTTTGTACTATGTCTGGTAACTTCAGAAGTCACTCCTTTTTCCAGAAGAATGAACCTAGTTCCTGCTGCTGCCATATTGGGGGGGGGGGGAGGAAGAGCCTCAACATACACACATATGAATTTTACACGCACACACACACACACACACAAACACACACACATACATATATATTTCTTGAATAATGAATGAACAAATAGAAATCTTAGGAGCTCTACTGCTAAATTCTAAAGCTAAGAAGCACTGTTGTTTGATTACTTCTTATTGGTTAAGACAAATCAGTTGAGAATGGAAAAGAAATCTGAAGACCAGGAAACATGTGAAACCAAATCATTGTAATAGAGTACTTCAGAAAAAGGGTAGAATATGGAATCGTTCACGCCATTAGAAGATCTATGCCAATTATAAACAACTTCAACAAATATTTATTAAGCATCCACATTTATTTCTTACATTGTGTTAAACAGTAACAGAGATACATAGATGAAATAAAATATGTTTCCTGCCCAACAGAAATCACAGTCTAGTCAGGGTTGCACCATTATATATATAAAACTATAATATAAAAGAAATACATCTGTAGCTAAATAATGTTAATTAATAGATCTATGTCAACCTGAAAAAATCTCTAGTGAGATGCCATAGGAATCTGTATTCAGGCTCCTGTTCACTATTTTTATCCATGGCTTGGGTGAAAACAAAGAGAGCATTCTTATCCAATTTTCCAAATATACAAAGCTTGGAAAGATGGCTAACTTGATGACAGAATCAAGGTTTTATCTCAATAATTCATTTTAACAAACGTTTATCCATACCCTACTGAAAGTGATTCTGGGTTAGACAAAAAGTTTGAGATATAGTTCCTGCCCTCATGAAGCTTACAGTCTAGTAGGGAGATATGATCTATACACAAATAACTGTAATACAAAAGTTAGGTGATAAGTGCATAAAAGAGATGTCTATAAAATATTACAGGACATCTGAGCAAGGAAAAGTTTGACTGAGAGGATCAGTAAAGTTTCCTGGAGGAGGTGGCATTTGAGCTGGCTTTAAAGAATAAGCAGGATTTCAACAGGTATGGTTTGAGGGAAGGGAGATTGAGGGAGTGGCCTCTTAGATCCAGGGAAAAGCGCAGCAGGGGAACACATAGCATAGGGATTTTACCTTAACTGAGATGTAAACTCAGTCATCTAATGGGTTTTTCTCCTTATCTCTTCCCTGCTTATTGATAAAACATGGGGTTTTAATTATTTCAGTTTTTATAGAAAGAATATTTAAAGCATCGATTTTTTTTTTGTCTTAACAAAAGAGTATCACTTTAGAGTATAACTAAAAGAGTATCTCTGTAACTTTCTAAGTTGCAGAGAAGACACCTATCTGCATTGGGTGTTCCTTATAATGAAATCATGTGTGGTGAGAAAAAATAATTAGTGTGATGATAAGATTAGTGTGATAGTAAGTAGGATCAGAGATTTAGAGCTAGAAGGGACCTTAGAGTTCATTGAGTCCAATTACCTCATTTTACAGGCAAAGAAACTGAGGCTGAGAAAGCATAAATTATTTACCCAAGGTCACACACCTAGCAAATAGGTGAAGCAGGATTCAAATTCAGCTCTTACTGACTCCAGATCCAACCTTCTTTCTACTAACCCACATTATATTTTACCAATATTGACAATGAAGTCAACTTTAAAAGTTTTCTATCATCCCTGCACCCTTAACTGTTGTCACAACCTTCCCTTTTCAGTTGTGTGTTTCATTGTAGGCTGGCTTATAACGTCCTTGTTTTTGGCAGCATCCTGATGCAAGAAAGACCAGACAAGAGCAAAGGAGGATGATTGATATGCTGAGTGCTACAGGAACCAGCCACATGTTTGAAGCCACAGATTCCCCAACAGTCCTCTCTTCTTCATTTTCAGAAGTGTAGTTCTGGCTGTTGTACCATTTGGTTTCATTCAATAGCTGTTTGCTACTGTTGAGATGCTGCGGAACAGGCATACGTGAAAGTATTTTTGTTTCTATAGTCTTAAATGCAGGAGAAATTGTCCTGTTACCTGGACTATTGAGGAGATCAGGACTGGGTGAAGCCATATTTATCTGTGTAGTAACTAAGTCGTTCAGTGGAATGGATGTCGTCCAAGACTCTGTGGTTGCGGCATTGGAAAAACTAGTATTGCTGGTATTTAAAACCAGATCTTGATATGTGGTTGAAGCTGGAGCCTCTACTGACAGTAACATGGGGCTTACCATGGTAGTTATATATTTTTCTAAATTAGCAGTCTTTATATTGGTTAGCCTGTTCTGTCTATTAAATGAAGAATGTGTACTTGGATCTTTGATAGATGATTTTTGAAAAACAAGCAAATCTGGATTAATACCTGCAAGGCAAATAAGATGTCATTGATAGTCTTTCTGCTTTAAAGGAAGAGTTGTAGAAGTGTTAGATTTGAGAAAGTTTCTTAGAATTTATCACTGTGTAAATTTACCACTGTGATAACACTATTTGCAAGTTGTAACTTAAATTCTAAAAGGCGAGAAACATATTGATGAAATTTGAATCCATTGTAACTTATAGAATGATTCCCACATTGATTGAAAATCTGGTTAAACATAACAGAATGATTTATGTTCATCAGTTTCTACTGATGAGTTCAAGTTACCAGACCTGGGTGAACTACATCCCGGGGTACTGAAAGACCTGATGAATATAATTCCTCAGCAACTACAAGTGATCTTTAAAAAAATCACGGAGAGGTGACACAGGATTGGAGATAGATGAATATTCCAATTTTCAAAAGGGGGAGAAAGTAGATCCTACAAAACATAAATTGATGAGTTTGACTTTGATTCCTGGAAAAATCTAAAAATTCATTATTAATAATAGGGATGGGTTTTGAACATTTAGAAAAGAAAACCAATTACTGAGTCCCAGCGTGGGTTCATAAAAAAAGGATCATGTCAGATTAACTTGATTTTGTTTTGTAACAAGGTTACTGGTAGACTAGAGTAATGCTATAGTTAGGTTAGTGAATTTAAAAATTTTTAAATAATATTTTATTTTCCCCCAATTACATGTTAAAAATATTTTTTAAACATTTGGGTTTTTTTAAAGTTCCAAATTCTATCCTTTTTTCCCTCCTTTCCCTGCCCCCCAGATGATAAGCAATCTAATACAGGTTGTAAATGTGCAATCATCTAGAACATTTCTGTATTTGTAATTTTGTACAAAATCACAAGAAAAGAAAGGAAAAATAGTATGCTTTAGTCTGTAATCAGACCATATCTATTCTTTCTCTCGAGGTGGATAGCATGCTTAGTCATGAGTCTTTTGGGCTTGTCTTGGATCATTGTTTTGCTGAGAATAACTAAGTCATTCACAATTCTTCATCGTACAATATTACTATTACTGTGTAGAATCTTCTCCTGTTCTGCTGACTTTACTTAGCATCAGTTCATGTAAGTCTTCCCAGGTTTTTCTGAAGTCATCCTGCTTGTCATTTTTTATAGCACAATAATATTCCGTAACAATAACATACCACATGTCATTCAGCCATTCACCAATTGATGGGCATCCCCTAGATTTCCAATTCTTAGCAATCAGCAGTGGCATTAGTAGATCAAAGAGTATGCATAGTTTTATTGCCTTTTGGGCAATAGTTCCAAATTGCTCTCCAGAACAACTATATCAGTTTACAACTCCACTAACAGTGCATTAGTGTCCCAGTTTTCTTACATCCCTCCAACATTTATCATTTTCCTTTTTGGTCACATTATAGATGTGAGGTGGTAACTCAGAGTCGTTTTAATTTGCATTTCTCTAATCAATAGCGATTTAGGGCATTTCTTCATATAAATATAGATAGCTTTGATTTCCTTATCTGAAAACTGCCTGTTCATATCCTTTGACCATTTATTAATTGGGAAATGGTTTGTAAGTATATTTTAATACAGCAGTTTACCTGAATTTTAGCATTTGAGAAAAATCTCTCATGATATGCTTTTGATCAAGATGGAAAGATCTGGGCAGGATACAAATCCAGTTAGGTGGATTTGAGGTAGCTGAATAACTAGAAACAATGAGTTAATGGAAGGGAAAGCCCCGTTAACCTGTCTTTGTTCCTAAATTGTTCAACATGTTTATCAATAACTTTGAAAAAGGCACAGATAGCATACTTATGAAATCTGCAGATTGGTGAAACTGAAACATCTTGGAGAACAGAGTAAGGAACCAAAATGATCTTAACAGGTTAGAGCATTACGCCAAATATCTTGAGATAAAATATAAACAGAGGGAAAAAAAGATCAATTGCACAAGCAATAAGGGAGGCCTTAGTTAGACAGTTCATGTGATAAGGATCCAGGTGGGTTTAATAACATACCTCCCATTTCTAGAGTACTCCAAGGGTTTGAGCATTTAGAAAAGAAAATAGTAATTACTAAGCACCAGTGTGGGTTCACAAATATTTTCCTTATAATAATCCATTGAAGTCAGCAGTCCAGACATCATGAGCCCCATTTAACAGATAAGTAAATAGGGTCGGAGTGACTTGTAGAGGATCAAATAGTAGCAGGATTCAAATTCAGACCCTCTGATTCCAAATCTGATGTCTACCTCCAACTCCTGCTACAGTAAAGTTACCTTAGTGAACTATGAGTTTAACATGAGTAAGCAGTATTATATAGCAGCCCCCCAGAAGGCTACATTCAGAGAGATATAATACTGAAAATGAGGAAGGTGCCCATTCTGATATATTCTATCCCCATCAGACCCCATCTGGAGTAATGTGTTCAGTTTTGACACCCACAAACCAGGGCATATCTAGAAGAAGGCAACCAGGGTGATGAGAGCACTAGAGACCATGACACACGGGAGGAAAGAAAGGGGATATTTAGCCTGGATATGAGAAGGCAGTGCCTCAAATTGCCTGTAGGACCTGGGGATCACAGATCATAGGATTATAGATTTAGGCCTGGCAGGAACCTTGGAAGCCATCAAGTCCAATTCTTTTATTTTGTAGTTGAGGAGACTGAGGCTGAGTGAGGTTAAATATCTTGCCCAGGATCATACAGCTAGTAAGTGACTGAGATAGGATTTGAACTCATGTCTTCCTAAACCTAAACAAAGTTCCCTCTCCACTGTACTATCTCATACTGAACACATCCCAAGTCAGATTCTTCTTCTGTGTTGTCCCTAACTCCCACCACTCCCAAGACAAGCCTTTTTAGATCAGTGATACACCATCACTACCATTCTTTTAGTCATTTAGACTAGACATTTATAGCTCATAGTTTTTGAGGTAGAAGAGACCTTACAAGGTCTCTTAATGGCCTATACACCATTCAGTCCAACACCTCCCTTTTTACAGATGAAATGAATTTCATTCTTAAGATACAGTAGTATCCTAGGATGAAGAGCTAGAAAGGACCTTGGAAATCATCTCTTCTAACCCTTTCAATTTAACAGATGAAGAATAATACTTTTAAAAAATCTTAAATAAGAACATGGTCTTCATACCATGCCATTCTTGACCTACTGCTGATGAAAATTTCATACCTGGCCGTGGATGGATACCTTTTTTAATAGTCTTTCTGGGGTGCATGCTCCAAAGGAGTTCAGAAATAAATCAGAATAAATAAATGAAAAGGTCTGTGAGTACAAGAGAAGACTTGTAAAATAAGATGATGTGAGGCCTATGGAGTAGAAGCATGATGAAGTGGAAATAATGCCAGATTTAGAGTTAAAGGACCTGAGTTCAAAACTTGCCCTTGCCACCTACCAGCTGTGTGACCTTGAATGAGTGAATGAAGGAAAGAATGAAAGTTATTTTACATTCTCTGGGCCTGAGCTTCTTCATCTGTAAAGTGAGAGGATTGGATTACATGTTCTCTAAGATCCCCTCCAATTCTAAATCTATGATTCTATTACATTCCTTCCTATAAATTTTGAATGTGAAATGATATTAAAATAGCTATATGTAGAAATTTATTCAATGAACATAGGTAAATTTCTTCTATTTTGCTGCAAAGTTTTCTCCCCTTTATTTATTTGTAGGCTGGGTAATAGTATAATTAGATAGACTCGGAATGGTTGAATGGATAAACTCAGATTGGTTGAGAATGGTTCAGTGTTGGTTTGACAAGAGGTGTCCAGTGGAGTGCCACAAGGATCTTCGCAGGCATATCTAGGTGCTTTAGGTAGCTACTCAGTATGTGCTTTCTATACTACTATTAAACCTAGCACTGAGATTTTCTCATGGAACCCTTATTTTCATTACATCAAAAAGAGGGGCAAAGCACATTTTGGGAAAAGCTGGTATAGAATTCCCTCTGCCCAAACATCCTACCTTTGCAGGATTATGGTTTGGATGTTCTACATCCTCAGAATGCTGTTCAGTTTTTCAACTTGAATTACTAAAACTATATTTAATAATTTAATTAAATGATGATCTAACTGGTTTACTTCCCTCCACCTAAATTAATTAGTTTCTAAATTAAGGTGTTAACAAAATCTTTATTTCCTGCAATAAAATGTCAACTTTGGATTTTGTTCAGTTCATTTAGCATAAATGGAGGAGAATATTATGTTAAAGTCTTCTGTTCTCTTTGGAGGAAGGATGCTATTTGAATGTAAGGTTATACTTCGGTGTTTATGATTTGGTTTTTTAACCTGGCATGGACTTTTTATCATTATATTTAATAAATTAAAGGGAACTAAGGTGTTTGACTAAATGCAGTCTTTATACATTAATTTTCCTTCCTGGATATCTCATAATCAATGTTTGCTTTATGGAAAACTGTTTTAGGGGACAGTCTATCACCAGCCACAGTGAGTTACTACTCTGGTCTCACCAACAATGGTCTTTTAAAATCAAGAAATACCCTATAAATCTTTACCTGCTGTGATGTTGTACAGAGTGGCACTATGCCTAGGCTGTAAGATGCAACTCTCCAGGGTAGGGCAGTAAACATGAAGGCAGTTGACATTGTCATGGATGGGATCATGGAAGAAAATAGCCAGATTGCAGGGAGCTGTTAAAAAAATAAAAAGACTGAATATTTGAAACTTTCTTTTATTGCCTGCAAGACTTTGACTTCAGCCCTGTTTATGCTGCTTCAAAGAACAAAGGATAGACTCATTTATATAGCAGAGCTCAGTTCTGAATGACATTATGAACTTGATTCTTGTCATACCCATCTTTCTGTGGACCTGAAAGATAGGCAAGCTGCTTTACCTTCTGAGCCTCAGGCTTCTTATCTGGAAAATGAAAGTGTTGGATTATATTTTTCCACAGTCTTTTCTACATCCAGAGTCTGACCATCTATGACCTGAGATCACTTTAAGGGAACTTTTAAAGAAATTCTCTAATAAGCTCAGAGAGAAAACATTCCCCATCTGGTAAGTGGGTCCTAGATTGTCTGAGAAAAGAAACAAGAATAGCTTAAGCCTCTACTATTTGCCAGGCAGTATGCTAAGAACTTTACAAATATTTCATTTGGTTCTTTTTTTTTTCTTTCAATTCTGCATCAGTTAATACAAATCTTTTTTCTTTTTTTAGGCAGTTGGGGTTAAGTGACTTGCCCAGGGTCACACAGCTAGTAAGTGTCAAGTATTTGGCCTGAGGTCGGGTTTGAACTCAGGTCCTCCTGACTTCAGGGCCAGTGCTCTATCCACTGTGCCACCTAGCTGCCCCTTACAAATCTCCTTACAAAGTCACTTTTTAACTCTTCCCAGTTTGCAAAGTATTTACATACATTATCTCATTTGAGCTTTACAACAATCCTGTATTTTCACATTCTATGTATGGAGAAACTGAGGCTCAGAAAACCTAAGGGACATATTCATGGTCTCACAGATAGTGCCAATGAAAGGATCCAGGCCCAGCACTCTATCTACTATATCAAAGCATAGATATGCAATGAGTCTACTTTCTTTGGGCAAGCATTCTTTTAAAATTTCATAGACTCTCATGGTTGTAAGGGCCCTTAGGGGCCATCTAGTTTATAGCTCAACCTACACTTGACAAAAATCCCCCATACAACATGCCTAACAAGTGGTCATCTAGATTTTGCTTGAAGACTTCCATTGGTAAGGAAACCAATTTCTTTGGAATCAGCCTATTCTACCTTTGAATAACACTAAATGTGAGAAAGTTTTTGATGTGATTATTCCTAAATTTGCCTAGTTACAACTTGTACCTACTGCACCTAGTTCTGCCCTCTTCCACTTAGCCCACAATACCTCTCTCCACAAATCCCTTCTCCAGGCTAACCACAGTAAATGAGTCACCCCCAATACTCAAGTCTACTTCACTTGAGATAAATAAAAAACTGTCATCCTTTCAAGGTGGCACTTTATCAACCATGCACAAAGTATGAATAATAAACGGGGTGAACTAGAGGTCTTAACACAGGAGGCATAGATATCACTGGGACTTGGTAGAATGGAACTCATGACTAGAATATGATTCTATAAGGGCACATTTTTTCCCCCAAAGGAGCAAAACATATAAAAGGAGTGGTAGAATAGCACTATATATGAATATATCTATATATCTATATTTATATACATATTTGGAAATCCAGGAACCCAAGGAAAGAAACACGATAAAGAACATAAATAGAGAGAGAGAATGTTTATTCCTGTTAGAGTATCCTACACACCACCTGGGCAAAAGGAGAAACTAGATGAACTGAGGAAACAGATGACAAACCCGTTACAGAAACATGACATTGCAATGATGGATTACTCCAATTATCTGGACATCTGCTAAAGCTCTCTTTACCAAAGCAAAATAAACAACAGCAAAAAGCAAAACCTGATAAATTGATTACCTATCCTAATGACAATTTGAACTTTCAAAAGGTGGAGGAGAGGAAAAGAGGAGCTGCCATTCCAGATCTGATTCTAACCAAAGAAGAACTTATTGCAGAAATGAAAAAGCTGAGGGTGGTGGTAGGGGATGGTGGTGGTAGCGAGTGAGATAGAGAAGAAGAAGAAAGCTGGACATAGTATGATATGTACTTTAGATTTGGGGAGTGCAGATTTCAGAGGATTCAAATAAAAGATACAATCTAATGGTATAGTAAGAATGAAATCCTGCATACTTCTGAAATCTTGAAGGAGAAATGAGATGAGAAAGAAAAGATGAGGAAAATTAACTAAAAATGTAGGTTCACAGGAAATTACTGTCCATCTTATATTTTTAAAAGACATTTGTTGAAGATGGGAGCAAGGATAGTAATTGAAAATGAGTACAGAAAACTGGCCAAATACTAAGAACCTAGAGTAAGATAAGGCTGACTAGTTATTTAATAAAAAACAAACGAACTGTGTTTGGGAAAAGAAGATCAAACAAAAGAAATGCCATTGCTTGGAGGTGAGGGTGATTACAACAGATATTGGTGAAAAGGCTGAATCTGACCATCTACCATAACTCCCTCATTCTTAAAAAAACTTGAATAGATCTACCATCCCTACCAGTTCCAGTGGTTCCCTATTGTCTCTAACAAACTGTAAACTCATCTGTTTAGCTTTTTAAAGCTCTATACAATCTGTCTCCAGCCTGTCTTTTCCAGTTCCATTGGACATTACTACCTCTTCCTTATTCTGCATCTAGACAACCTGGCCCCCTCTCTGCTCCTCACATAGGAACACTCCCTCTCTCTGTGCCTCTGCAATAGCCATCTCCCAAAGCTGGAACACTCTCTCCTTAACTCTAACTTCCACTTAACTCTAACTTCCATAGCTCTCTCTTCCTTGTATCTATAAGCTCATACACCATCTTCTGCATGAAGCTTTTCCTGATCTCCCCAACTGCTAATCACCCTTGTTCCAAAACTTTGTATTTAATTACTTTGTATTTATTCACTTTACATTCATGCTTTATATATTTTTATATGTACTTATCTCCATCATTCAGATATAAGCTCTTTCTTTGTACTTGGATTCCTAGTGTCTAGCACAGTGCCTGGTACATAGTAGACTGTTCCTATATACTTTCTAATTGATTGATTGATGGATTGCTCCACTTTAAGCTATCATCTTATGTCTTACTCTTTTTCTCAGACAAATTCCTAGGAAAAAACCTTGTCTCCAGTTCCTTTCCTCTCACTTCTCAACCCTTTGCAATCTGGCAACCAAACTTATCGTTCAGCTGAGATTGCTCTCTAAAGTTACCAGTGATTTTTTAACTGTCAAACCTGATGGTTTTTATTCAGGCCTCATCTTTTTGACCTCTCTGCAGCATTTAACACTGTTGACCAACACCTCCTCCTGGATATTCTCTCTTTGTTGGATTTTTATGACTTTACCCTCTCTTGATTCTTTTCCTATGCATCTCACCATCTTATGAGTTCCCTTTGCTGATCATCAACTATATCGTACCCACCCTGCCCCCCACTCCCTCAACTTTAAGTGTTCCCCAAGGTGCCATTCTGGGTCTACTCTCTCTGTGCTCTCTACTTTGATGACCTCATCAGTTCAAATCAGTTAAATCATCATCTGTATGAAGCTGGTTCTCAGATCTATATATTCATTCCCAGTCTTTTTCCTGAGCTCCAGTTGCATCACCAAACTGCCTATCGTACATTTTAAACAAAACGTTCCACAGACATTTTAATTTCAACATGTCCAAGACAGAACTTCATCATCTTCTCCCCAAACTCTTCTTTGTAACTTCCCTATTTTTTTCCCCAAGGGAATCACCATCCCTCTAGTCTCCTAAGTTTATAACCTCAGTGTTATTCTTTACCCCTCACTTTCTCCCTTTCTATCCAATTAGTTCCCAAATCTTGGGAATTCTCCCTCCACTATATCTCTTGCATCCATTCCCTTCTCCCTGTTCACTTAGCTGCCACTTTCCTTCTGCCCTTTAACATTTCTCACCTACAGTTTTGCAATGAAATCCTCACTGGTCTCCATGCTTCATCTCCACCTACAACTAACTCATTCTCCACATAGCTGCCAGGATGATTTTCTTTAAGCACAGGTTGACTGTGTCTCACCCAGTAAAATTTAGTGGGTCTTTGCTAATAGAATCAGTATAAACTCCTCTGTTTAGCTTTTAAAGCCTGTCACTACCTGTCTCCAAACTACTTTTCCAGCTTCATTTTACAATGCTTTCCAGTTACTATAGCAGCAATGGTAAAGTGTGGTCTACGGACTTTGAGGGTCCCTGACACCCTTTCAGGGGATCAGTAAGGTCAAAACTATTTTCGTAATAATACCAAGATGCTATTTGCCTATAAAAATTATCCTGCCTTTTCCAATTACATGTCTGTGTGAAGCTGGATTTTCTTCATATTCTTCAACTGAAACAACGTATTGTAACAGAATGCAGAAATGAAGAAACAATGTAAAGGGTCCAACATTGTTATTTTAAAATAAATTTAATACTTTCAAAAGTTGCCTGTTTCCATTTCAAATATGGTAAATATTGATAGATATAACCATTACAAACAAAAGCTCTTTGGAGTCCTCAGTAATTTTTAAAAGTCTAAATGGGTCCTGAGAACCTCTGTTTTACAGGCCAGCCAAATTTGCCTTCTTGGCATCTGGTATCCCTCATACTTGACAATCCACTTCATATCTCTGCACCTTTGCAGTGATTCCACATTCCTGGGAAGTATTCTCTCTTCACTATTGTCTTGAATTATCTCTTCTTTCTTTCTTTTTTTTTTTTTGGCTAGGCAACAGGGTTAAGTGACTTGCCCAGGGTCACACAGCTAGTAAGTGTTATGTATCTGAGGACGGATTTGAACTCAGGTCTTCCTGAATCCAGGGCTGGTGCTCTATCCACTGCATGACTCAGCTGCCCCTCTCTTATTTCTTTCACAACTCAGCTGAGTAGCTACCTTTTGTATGAAGCTTTTCCTGATCCCCCCAATGCTAGTGACTACATTGAATTTATTTAGTATGTATTCTGTATGTACATACATATGTATATATTGTCTTCCTCAATAGAACATAAATCCTCTGAGAGTATGGACCATTTCCTTTTTGTTTTTGTATTCCCAGCACCTAGTATGGTTCCTGGAACATGGTAGGCACTTAATAAAAATGCTTGTTTATTGATTTATTGCTACCTGCAGATGGCTGGGAGTTGGATATGAATTTCCCCCTTTGATTTGGCAAAGATGAAATCTTCCTTCCTCCTTCCATAATCTAGGTAAGTGTATTTCAATTAGGAGTTCTAGCGAGCGAAAACTGGAGGCATGATTCTATCTTTTTTTTTGATTTCACAAACTGGTATCCTCCTCTTCACCTAAAAATAATCCAGGATTTTAAAAATCCTCATAAGCTCTATAGCAACTATATTTATGAGGAACTATACATTTTCACTGCTCAGGCATACCACCCACACTTACCATCCTTTGTAAGACAACAGTTCCTCCCACACTTCTGGCCTGTGCTTTCTGAGTAATATTTTAGGAACTGGGCTCCAAACTTCTGAGATTCCTCCAGGTCAATTAGGAAACCTGGAAAGCGTCGGATCCAGCAATCCTTGTAAAACACAGCGGGTGAACAGAGAGCATCCAAACGCCACGCCATACTCAGGACCAGCAGCACTTCTGCTGCTGCCTCCACCATGCCACACATTTCCTCAGTATGAAAAGTTCAAGACAAGTCTTTTTTCCAGCATAGAAAGATGTGACAAGTCTTTGTTTAAGAAAGAATTTTTTGCGTGGTGGGGCCACTGCTAAGACTTTTCTTGATGTGCGGCTGCCAGCAAGCTAAGTCAGTTTGGAGACCTGCATTTGGTTTTCTTTCTTTCTCTCCAAAATGAGCTCCCAAGGGAATGGCACGTTTCCTGCTGTCTTTCTGGATAGTGTTCTCTTGATGCCTTGTTTTTTACTCAGTCACAGAGAAATAGAGCCTCTGTTGTGTATTCCCTCTTTCCCTGAAATTGAACAGTCACAGAAAACCTTTACTATGGAAATATAAGGACAAATGGGGAACATAGGAAAGCTTCTGTCTGCATACAGTGTTTCACTGACTTGAGCTTCAGATAACAGAATGGTCCTGGTGAGATTTCACTTCAAACAAAACAGATGAACTGTTATTTGTCTTTAGGTTTTTTTTTTTTGGCATACTTATTAGCCTTATTTCTGTCCTTGAATTTGTTACTTTCTCTGCCCTTACGAGGGTTTGCTCTTACAGTGCCTGGGTTTGCTTTCTGCTCCAAAAAAGCATTGCTATCTTTTATATTTAAACAAATGCAAACCAAGAATGAAAAAGTTTACTCTGAACTTCACTCTTTCCAGAGATGACAAACCGAGAAAAAAGTGGTGCTACATTTCATTAACAAACCTGCTAAGATGTCTACAATTCTACAAAGAGGAGTTGTTACTTACCTTGAGAAATGAAGGGAAGAGCAGATTTCTTAATGCTTACCCAAATGCATTGGACTGCATTTTCTTAATACCTGCCTGATTTCTGTGTCTGCTGGATGCTGGAAGCAAGAGAACAGTACTCTTTTCTTTAGGGCACACTCATAGTTTGGTGGGAACATTGCATATTCTTGACTGAGGAATGGGAGGCCAAAGGCAGCAGAGGAATTAAATTATTATTTAAATGTCCCCTATTAGCGATGGCTTCAGTTACATTTTCAAAGGCAGTACCACAGGAATGGCCTTCCATCTCATGGTCACCAAAGCTGATGAACTCTAACATACTAAAGAAGTATTGTTTTGTTAGTTTCCAATATGTCTAATAATGATTACAATTGGAGTAATAGATCATTTTGTTAGTGCTTTAAGATTTACAAAGACTTTACATGTGTTATCTCATTAGTGACACACAGCTTTTTTTTTAACGAGTACAGACACAGTATTCTCTCTCTAACCTCCTGTCTAGTGACTCATTTATTCAGAATACAACAAGCAGTTTTTAGAAATCATTCATTACAGCATTTTCTTTCTATTCTTTACTAACAATAGACAAGTTACTCTATATAGCATATAGATTCTTAATGCAAAAAGGAGCAATGAAGTTAAACAGATGCCTATTTTTAAGTTTCCTGTGATTCTTGTTATAGTTACAGTTGAAAAAACCTAACATTGTACTTTCCTGCAAATATGTATTGTGTCATGCATAATCACCATATAGCTAGATCAAAATGGTAAGATAGACCTTTTATTCCCATATACACTTTAAACAAACCTGTCTTACCTGCAGAAGTCAGACTCTTCCACCTGTTCAAAGGGAAGGGGGAAATGGCATTTTCTAAAGGGAAGGCAAAAAGCTGACATTCAAGATTGACTCTCCATTGTTCATTGTTCTCTGTTAGAACAGACTTTCAGTTTTCTCATTACTCCTATATCTAACATGATTTACCAAGACTAAAAATACTTACACAAAATGTACTTTCTCTTTTTATAAAAAAAAGATACACCATTCCTCTTATGATAAGAAATCATTCTTCAAAGTTCTCAGCTTCCCTGAAAGGACGATGGAACAATCCAAAACCTTGCTAGAGTAGAGGACTCTCAGTTATTAACCCCTTAGATGTCTAACAGGGATAAAAAAGAACAGAAAGCTATTTTTGATGGAATATGAAAGTTCCAAAGACCAGAACCATAATTAAAAATATGGGTATTACGTCTCACTCCTTATGACCAGCTACACCGGAAAGGAAGGAGTGCAATTGGACTGGGGTGTGGACATGAAGAATAGAGATTTCAGTTATGTACAGGTATAATGGGCATGTCCAATCTCATGACAAATTATCAAACAAAGCAGCCATACTTAGTGATCATATGTAATGAAATGAAGAAACCAGGAAACAGATGCAACTCAGCACAAATGGTTATATGTAGCTTTTGGATCACAGGGTCATAGAATGAGAGCTGGAAGAGGCCTGAGAAGGAATCTAGTCCGACTTCTTCATTTTACAGATGAAACATTGAGGCCTAGAAAGGTGAAGGTTATACAGGTACAGTAGCAAGTGGCTGAGTCAGAATTTGAGCCCATGTTCTCTGATTCCAAATCTGGAATGCTTCCCTACCATACTGCGTCTCTGTCACACTGCACAGATCCTGACAAATATATTTAGACTGCAAAATGCTATTTGTCATATTGCTATAATAATAATTCCTTATATTTATACAGAACCTTCTTGGGAGGAATTCAAAGTTCAGAAGACTATTGCCTCATTTTTCATCACAGTTTTCCTCTGGGAAAAGTGCAGGTTGAAATTAGCTTCATTTTGCAGCAGGGAACTCTGTCCAAGGTCACTTAGAAACTGAGTGGTAGATTTAGACTAAAAACCCAAGGTCTCCATAGTTAAATATAAAATCCAAAACAGTATCCAGTAGACTGGACTTCTGTGAGAAATGTAAAGAGACTCAATTTTGCAGTCCACATAGTTTGATTTGCAGATACTGGCATAAATGAAATTAAACATTCAGATGACTGAAGTCAATGGAAGTTTTGCCTGGGTGAAGTCTATAAACTTAAGCCAAAAGGGAAAAATTTAAGACTGAGTGCTACATGTAATTGACTTTAGCAGTCCCATATGATATCTTTTAATAGTATGAAACTATGTGCTTTTTGTGTTTAAAAACAAACTCAGAAATAAAGTTGTCATAAAAATTCCTTTTCAAAGAACAGAATGCAGAACTATATTTTTTGGCAAAATATTTGAAATGTGGGATATGAATAGGCACTCTCTCTAACACAATTTTCAAAAATCTCATTTTCCCCTAGGTTTTATACCATTCTAATTTAGATATTTTAGGTAATTAATTGTCTTATTCAAAGTTCAGAGACTCAAGAGTTTATCTTTCCCCTAAATCTTTCCTCTTCCTGCTTTTACTACTTTTGTCAGGGACACCCCCTGCCTCCTGTGGTCAAAACCTTGCTGTTCTCTGTGACTCTTCTATTTCCTTCACCCCTCATATCCACTGTTCATGTCCTCTCAATTCTAACTTTGAGATAGCTCTTGTATATATCTCTTTAGTCCTTCTGCCACCTAATACACTAGTATAGGTTCCTGGAAGGAAGAAAGGAAGGAAGGAAGGGAAGGAGGAAGGGAGGGAAGAAGAAAGGAAACAAGTATTTATTAAGTGCCTGCAGCGTGCCAGACGTTGTGCTAAGCGCTTTACAAATAAAATTTGATCATCACAACCCTAGGAGGTAGGTGCTATTATTATCCCCATTTTATAGTTGAGGAAACTGAGGTGAGTGGAGGTTAAGTGACTTACCCAAAGTCACACAGCTAATTAGTGTCTGAGGCTGAATTTAAACTTAGATCTTCCTGACTCCAGGCCCAGGGCTCTAACTACTGCACCATCTTGCACCCAGTAAGTCATAACTATTTACCTTCAATCACCTCCTAATAAATTTTTTTTGCCTCCAATATCTCCTGATATCCAGCAGTTCTTCACATCTGCCCAACTAATCTTCTTTATGCATGGATCTGGTTAGAGTACTTCTTTCTCCTTGAAGTTAACCAGAGATGTTGCAGAGAGAGGTGAAATGGACAGGTGTTGACACCTTATTGGATGGGGGAGGGGGTTTGAGAGAGAGTGAAGAGTCCAGGATGACCCTTAGGTTGGGAGCCTGAGGGTATGAAAGTACTAGGAAAAGTAGGAGGAGGGGAGTGATTAGTGGGGGAAGATAATGAGTTCTGTTTTGGACATGTTGAGTATGAGAGGTCTTTGGACATCCAGTTTGAGGTGCTCAAGATAGAACTGGGAGTGCTCTGGCTGGAGACAGAAAACACTTAGAGGGTTACAAGAGGTGATTAGGAGGATTTGAAGTCTTTGAAGGATACACATATTGTGCCAGAACCAGGGTTAGTGGGGGCTCTGCTAGGCCCCAGGTGTGGGTGGAGTCAAGCTCTAACAAAGAGACAGAGTGAGGCTGTACGCTGGAAAGGCCTTCCCAGGCCTTCCCAATACAGCCAGCTGTCTCAGACATGCTGAAGGCATGTCCCAGATGAGGCCAGGTCCCAATTTGCTAGGCATGTTACTGTGGGGTCTGGGGAACAAGACTCTGTTGTGCTGAGGTCCCTTCTGTCTCTGGGGTCATCATGGGGTTTAGAACTTCAGGGAACCTCAGAGTTGGACCTCCTGTCCAACTCCTTCCATCATGGGAGGGAATCAGGCTGGGAGAAGGGAAGGAACTTGGCTGGAGGCACACAGGCAGTAAGGAGTGGTTATTTGTACACAGCTTTGCTATATTTTCATATTCATTCATCCTCCATTCCTGCCTGGTTTCCATCTTCTGTACACGTTTGGAAAATTTTACTTTATCTTCCTTTCCAAATGTATCCTTTCCCTTCCCCACCCAGAGGACCATCCCTTGAAGCAAAGAGCGAAAAAGAGAGAGGGAAAAAGGTTGATAGTAAAAAGAGCTAGCCTTTATATAGTGCTTTCCATATGATTTCAGTTGGACCTCACAACAGCCCTGGGAGGTAGGTGCTATTATTTATCCCCATTTTATAGATGAAGAAACAAATTTAGGGTTAGGACGTAAGGGTGTTGAGAGAGGACTAGCACTCTGCTGTGAGGGCTTGCCTAGCCCTTTTCAGGGCTGCTTATCCACCTTTGGTACCCACCTTTCACCCAAATCTCACCTGTGGATCCGAAAAGCTGGTCACAGCCCCATAAAACCATCTGGACAGAAGGGCTAAACTAAGTTGAAGGTAACTGACAGGTCTCGAACTCACTGATAAGTTAGGGGGATGTTTACCAAAGCATAGGGAGAGTCTCCCTGGTGAAATGGGAAGATTGAGAACAATTTGTTTCAATGGCCACGAAGGCAACTGAAGCAAGACCTGTGGAGCGTTTAGAGCTTGGTCAGACATTGAAGATGCTAAGGTCGTCCACTGCATCCTGGACCATCACCAGTCTCCTGAATTTTGTCTTGACGCTGGACTTAGATGACTCTGAAAGAGAGAGTGAGGCTGATGTCTTTGTACAACTCTGTCTCACTTAAATCCAATTTACCCAGCAGTCAAGACATCATCCCATGATGTCATTGGTCCTCTTTAAAAACAAAGGATGAACAACGAGCATATCACATAGAGTACCCTGCTGGCACCATCAGACTATTTTCAGCCTTATTTCATCTTGCTCCTATATATGAACTCTACCCTCCAATCAAATTGTAGTAGTCTCTGTCCCATGAAAACACCTTGTAGTTTGCTCAGACTATTCCCTGTGCATACAATGCCCTATATGACTACTCCTCTGTCTGTTGAATTCCTATCTATCCTTCAAAGCCCTACTCAACAGCCCTCTGCTCCAGGAATTCTCTGACTCCCCAGTTGGCAACGGTTTCCTTTATCAAAGCAATTTGTGCCTCTCATATGTTGTCATGTAATTTTTGTTAGTTGAATAGATTTCCTCCCTCTAGTAAGAACTGTGTGTGTGGGCCAGACAAATTAGGCACGGGTAGAACAATGCTGGGAGAGAGAGGTACAAAATGACTGATGATGGTATAGACAGTTGGGCCCAATGACCAAGATGTGATTAGAACAATCTGGTAACAAGTACTGTAAGTTGATCAGGGGCTTTTTTTTTCGTTGTTCTACCTAGATTCATGTTGCCACCTTTTAGCTAGTTTATTTAGTTTAGCTAGTTACAATATCATATTTTTACTATTGTTGGAGAATCTTAATTTAAAGCCACTAGTTTGGGATCATGATTAATTAATACCTGTTGCACACTTCATTGTACTTAATTTTCTTCCGCTCTATGGTCTGGGAGTTTTACAGATCATGCCTTAGGGTGAGCTTCAAGGTTTCCAGGAAGCATGCCATGAAACAATTCCGACAACTCTCAGGACTTGTAGGGGCTGAATGCTGAAAGGCATCTACTTAGAGATAATGAAGCAATCCCTTTTGGTCCACTAAACAAGAACAATGCCTGAACTAGTGGTTATTTAAAAGGGACTGACCTGGCCTTGGTCACTTTATTCTCTTCCTAGAACTCTGCAAATAGTCTTAGGATTATTTGACTCTATCCCTAGAAGGGCTGGTGCCCTTCTCTACTTCTTGGAAGAAATGTGGAAACAGAAGGATGTGCAGCCTGGGCCTTAGATTTCTACCTTCTTCTTCAGTTTTATTTCCTTCCTGATCCCCAACATGGAAATGTTAGCCTGGGAGGCAACCTTTTGAGTTTAAGAGATCCAGAGTTCCTG